GGTTTTGCCCCCGGGTCCAGGGGGTGGCCGCTCCAACCCCTCACCGGGCCAGCTAGACTGTCTGGAAGGATGCCACGGAGGCCACATCCACCTGCAAGCTGTTACCCAACCGCCGATAGGCCAGCCCCGGCCTCGCCGAGGTGAGAAACGGTGGTCCGAGAATAGGGCCAGCCAAACAGGGAGGGGTGGGCCCAGGCAAGATGGAACTGGAAAGGCAGATACGTTCCAGTCAGGAACGGGGCAACTGACCGACCTCCCCCTGGACCGAGCTCACGGTGGAACCCTTGTCTGGGTGATGTCACGCCACGTGCACCCGGGAGGGACCAACGATTCTCCCTGAGCTTATCCACAGTGACCTCCCTGTTCTCAGTCCCAGAGCTGTCCCGCTGCTCCCCACTGGTATTCAGATCCCTGCCCAGAGCCAGGCGCGCGCGCGGATCCGAGGTGCCAAGGAAGCTGGATGCCCGATGAAAGAAACGCACCGGTTCCGGGCCTTGGGGTGCAGACATGGATGAGATTCAATGTCCGCCCTTCTACGTGAGCCTGGAGGTACAGCAGGTGGGTCTCCTGTGGGAATATCGCTGCGTCCCCTCCCTGCCTAAGGAAGAGGGCGCCAGGTTTCCCAGCGAGGGCTGGGAAGGAGCCTCATGGGAAGGGGCAGGAGTCATGGGAGATGGGGGACTGCTGATAGGCCACAGGATGCTGCCTCCCAGTCCCCTTTACTCTGCTCTAAAATACCCCATGGGCAGGGGTCTAAATAGACGCCTCCCAGTGCTGGAGAGCGAGCTGCCTCTTGCCCTGGGAGCCACGGCTGTGCACCAGTGCAGCTCGTGCTGCAATGCAATGGGGGTCGAGGCCTCCCAACCTGCCTTTGTCCAGCAGCTGGGCCCTTGAAACCACCCGCAGCCCACAGAGACGGGCAGTTGGCAGCCGCTAGTGTTCCCAAGCCGGCATTGCACCCGCTCGTTTCTACGCTACAATGCGGTGCAGCCCACTGAGGTTAGAAGAATTACAAAGGCTTCCAGCTTCGAAATATGCTTTCAGAAATGTTTATTGAAGCAGGGAGATACATTCCCAAAGACCTAGAGACCTGGAATGCCCCCAGAAGCAAATTGTTTTGCAGTGAAGCTGCAGAGTGCATGGCTGTTTTCCAGACTGGAGATATTTAACTTGTAGTCAGTAGGGTTCAGAGTTAACCGGTCTCCCTCCATTACTAAGGTGCACCATGAAGCTATTGATCTAGACGTCCAGCAGACACAGGTAGGTGTGAGTGAAGAATATGTTTTCATCCTTCATGTAGGGGGAATACACTCTTCCCGATGTGATCCGAATGCAGTGCCATCTCCTTAACGCTGCTGACAGCCAGAATCATAGTCCATGTTGTTCTGGGTGTTCACTCTGACTCCTACTGATTATGAGGGGAAATGTCATCATTTCTGATGGCCAACTGAGCAGAGAAAAGCCAGCTGAATGGTCGGTGCAGCCTGTGAATTCACGATCCCATAACTAACCCAAGAGAGATGGATAACTGTGCAAAGCAACAGAAACACAGTTAGGGACCAGCCCGTAAGGTCCCTCTGGAATCCAGCCCACCCGCTGTGCATTTAGAATCACGCCCATTTCTGGAGAGTGTTCAGGTTTCTTCAGAGTGTTAATCACTGAAGCCACAGTGAGACAGGGCTGAGCTGTGCACCTTTCAAGAGGCTATACCAGACAGAGAAATAGAATGGGTGGGGGCGGGGGGATACATGGGGCGGAGGATGGGTAGCACAGCTTGTCGGTTGATTAATTGGTTGGCATTAAGACATTACTTAGGTCATCAGTTAGATGGTTAGTTGCCCTGGATGTATTAGATCAGTGCTTCTCAATCCACCGCCCATGGGTTGCTTTTGGACCAATCAACACACTCCAGAGGCTCATGTGACATCCTGACGGACATGCAGATAGCGCCCAACTATACTGTGGATGCGGTCCATATAACAGAGAAAAATGCACATGCTCTCTCAGTGGTAGGCTTAGAATAGGATGCACACAGTGGTCAGTTGGCTGGACGGATGCATTGGATACTTCATTTGGCAAGTAGGCTGGATAAGCTAAGTACATCTCTTGATTGGCTGGTTACATTGGAGCCACTCAATGCTTTCGGTGATTAGCTGACCGGACATTTTTATTTAAAAAAAACACATTCATTAGTTGGCTGGCAGGCTGGCATTTCAGATTAGCGTCTCTAGAGAAATTCATTGGTTGTTTTCATGCACTGGAGAATTCATTGGTTGGTTTGTTGTGAATGTTGTATACTCTACCTAAATTCATCAGTTGTTTGGATGCATTCATTGGTTGGTTGGTTTTGCATGTTGGATGTACTAGATACAGGCATTGGTTGGCTGAATGGATGGACGGAGAGATATGGGGGATAGGCAGGATATGTTCTTTGATCTGTTTGGTTGGATGGATAAATTGGAGACTCTGTATCCCGTTGGTGGTTTGTTGTTTCAATAAGTCAGATAAATTAAACACAGCCATTGGTTGGTTGCTTAGCTGGCAGTTGGCTGGATGGGGGAGCAGGTGGACTGGTCGGATGCAGTAGATTTGTTGGTTAGCTGGATACAGTAGATGGTTATTGGATGCAGTGGGCTGCTGGATCCAGAACAAACGATTTCTGCTCGGCTATTTCCCCAGACGGAGTTGTGAGGATGACGGGCTCACAGGAACAGACAGACTCTTATAGGCACAGCAGACACAGACAGGAGCAACAGCAAGAGGCGTCTGCAGAGTGGGAGCCAGGAAATGCTCGGACAGGGAGCGCAATTGATCAAAGCACACCCAGGACCCTCTCCGACCCCCTAGCTAAGGGGCTCACCAGATGGCCTTTGCCTCCTTCCCCTTGGCTGTGCTCCTCCGGGGTGGCTGAGAGACATAGTCAAAGCAGCTCCGACCCCCGAGGTGGGGCCCACAGCGCAGGCTGTACTGGAACCAGACGCGGCCGTGGTTCATGTAGCAATCCTTCTGGTGGGGCCCCCCAGACTCCAGCTCGATGTCGCAGTTTCCCAGTTTGTCATCGTCCCACTTGTTGTCCTCGTCCCAGACCTGCACGCGGATCTTGCTGGCGCTGTTGAGGCGGACGGTGCCAAAGTCCAAGTGGACGTTCCAGGTGGGATTGTTGTTGTTCCAGATGGTGCCAGTCCGCAGCTCCTTGCTCTCAAAGATGACCTTGACGAAACCATCTGTAGCAGTAAAGTAGTCCCCCCACAGACCACTGGCCTTCTGCACACTCACCGTCAGCTTCCCCAGCCCACGTTCCCGTGAGCAGCACATGGTGTTGGTCACGGTGTCCCCCGGGCAGACACAGGAGCAGGGATCGTGGGCGCTGCGCTGGGTCCCTGGGGGACAGCTCTGGGTGCAATTCCTCCACAGGGCCCTCTCAAGGATGTACTTACTCACCGCCCGCTTCAGCTCCTCCTGCTTGGGGTCGTCCTGCTCTACCAGCATGTGGATGGGCTGCAGGGAATAGGACACCAGGCCGGGGCTGGATTTGAGGCTCTCCATCCAAGCTGAGAAGACTTTGGCGTCTTGTCCGGAGAACAAGATGTCTGTTGTGCTGTGTCCTCCCTCCACCTCCACGTGACGCTCCCGATATGTCTCATGAAAGCTCCTCTGAACCTTCCTCTTCTTCTTGTCCTCCTCACACTGGTTGTACCCACCCTTAGCTGAGCCAGATCCAATACTCACAGACGACTCCCCACTCAAACAATCCTTGATCTCGTCAGCTGTCAAGCTGCTCAGTGCCGCTTCGCAGACCCGCACGGCTGTCACGTCCCGCGCCCGGCCCCCCAGCTGCACCTGGGACACGTAGTGGGTGCCGTAGTTGCTGATGAGTTGCTGGTACTCCACCTTGGATTTGCTGTCGTACTTCTCCGGGAGGTTCTCCAGCGCCTCAGTGAAATGGCTGGTGAGCGGGGGCGTCTCGCTGACCCGGAACCTGCCCAGGGACACAAGGTGTGGAGTGAGCTCAGCCTGGCCGGTCAGCTGTGATCGTTATCGGCACATCCTACGGCCCCGGCCAACCCATGAGCAAAGGATTAAGCATGTGGTTCCTGCTCAGAGCAGCATCCCCAGCCTGCTGCACCCACTGCCTTGCTGGGAGCATTGTCAGCTGATGGACGTCCCATGCTCTGGCCATGGCTGGTCACCAGGACCCTGACACACAAGAG